TACCAAATTTACTTCTGGATACATAAAAACGAGTTGAAATTCTGAAATAAATTTGCTTGATACCAGAAAAAAAATGTTGATTTTGGCTAGGGTTGCCAGATACTTTCACAAAAAATCCTGAACGTGGCAGGGAAAAAAATTGGTTGAGCAAAAAACAAAACAAAACGGGATCAAGGTTGTTCAGAAAGGAAAAAAAAAGTGTGTGTGGGGGGAACCAAAGCATGAGGTAAGGTATTTTCTGTTGGTTTTTTTCACGGACAGGGGTCACAAATACCAGACTGTCTGGGAGAAAACCAGACACCTGGCAACCCTAATTTTGGCACATCATAGTGACTACAGTGCTGAGAATTTCCTCATGCTATTAATACATATATAGGGATCCTCATCTTCTAAGGGATTTGAGACAGTGAACATTTCTTGCAATATCTTTGGGAAATCCTATATTAAATTTATGTATCACTAGGGCCAGGGACTGTATGTAATTCTATATAGGAGGGGACCACAACTCTCCAGAGTAAGAAGGAAGTGGAGAGAGAAGTGGTTAGGCAAATTCACTCAAGTTGGAATACCTCCAGACAGGTACTATCCCCGGAGATGCTTGTATATATTAGCTTACACTGGATTCTCCAAGGACCAAAAGACCAAGCAAGTACATTTAAAGTGACCTCGGGCCTTCTAACATCAATCCAATGGGGGCCCCAATTTTTAGGGAAGATCTGGAAGGATTGACACCTGCCAGACCTTGAGGTTGAAATTGGGGTGATCCTCTGGTAAGCTCTTCAGCATGCATGCATGCTCTTTTACTGATTCTAATATGTTTTCTCCACAATGCTTTTACATTAAGAATAAATATGGTGGCTTAGAAAGAGCTGTGTGCTACCTTATAATTGTGGACAATTAAATCTGTTCATAGCCTCTGAGGAGAAAGCAATGCGCAGACCACCCTGGTGTACACTAGAGAGTTATTTCAAAATAACCCCCCTTATTTTGAAATAAGAAGCAGAGCATCCACATTACCAGGCCCATTATTTAAAAACAAAAAACAAAAAAAAAACCCTCAAAAAACCAGGCCGGTTATTTCAAAATCTGTATTCCTACTTTCCTCTGAGAATAAGGCTTATTTCGAAATAGTGTAGATGCTCACTCCCCGGAGTAATTCAAAGTAATTACTTCCCAGTGCTTCCTGGGGCTCTAAGTCAAGGTGACACGTCCACAGTAATGGAGCCTACCTCGGACTAATTTTGAGGCTCCCCCGTAGTGGAGACACGCTATTTCAATTTTATTTTGGGAGTTATTATTTTGAATGTAGTTATTTTGACATGATTTCCTAGTGTAGACATGCCCACACTGGCCTTTTAGGCAGTTTGGCTTGCTGGGAAATAACACTGTGTAGACGGAACTGTGCAGGCTGGAAAAACCCTGGCTGGAAGGGAGAGAAGTGATGGATGGGAGCTGGAGCATAGAATGGATGTCCTTGCTGGTCCACAGAAAAGAAACAGAGTTGTACTGAACTGTGACAAGCTTTACAAACAGTTAATGCGAACACATGCAGCAGCAGCACAGCTAGCAGTGACAATATTATGTCACAGTCTTCTCTGCCTTACTTCTGTG